GCACGTCTATGGGTAGGTTTCAGCTTTACAGCAAAAGCTGAATTGATAGGAAATAACAGAGGTGAAGACCATATTGTTTACCTTACGTCAATGGGACATGCTATGTATTGAGAATGCACATCTATGGGCACGACTATTTTCTTATTTAAATTCCCAAGCACCCAAAAGCAATCCACATATTCAGAAGCAAGAAAATAAGGATTAACGTTTTCAAAAAAAATTATCACTTCAACTTGTACATTCGCAATGGCTGCCAATTTTGGTGTAGTGTAGGCCGACTATCTGTACGACCTACATTGGACCCCACAACTGGATGAGTTTTTAATCGAGTTTTTGCTTGACGAGAAGCGCGTTGGTTTGTTTGTTCCATTTGCAGCTAACAATAGCAGCATGTTCGATGCTAAGAGGGAGATAAATGGTTATTTTGAAATTTCACGACAGATTATATAAACCAACGTGTTGAAAATATAGGCAAAAGATACCATATATTGTTACAACTTAAGCAAAAAGATGGGGTTCAGTATGATAAGGCGACCAATGTTTACCATGCATCTGACAACAAGTGGCATCATTTGGTAACGGTGAGTCTTCATATAATGTTTGTCTCGCTTTATTTCAATTTATTTTCAGTTGCGAAGTAAAAAAAAATTCAGTTTCATGTCGTGGGATGAATTTTCACTAGCTTACATGGAGGAAGGCGATTCCCAGCATGACAAGATTGTGGAGTTGTTTCACGTGGAGCCATTGTACATACCTCCATTCGAGTATCATGTTTTGTCTGAGAGCGACACCGAAGAACCTAGGAATGCAAAGAAGGGTCGCGATAAATGTGTTGAAGTTATAGATGTCGAGGACTACAATGCATATCATGATCCAAAGAGTAAGTTGCTACCGCACCCTGTTCGAATGAACATCCCACGCAAAAAACAATCACCATGTCCAGCCTTTTATATGGGCAGTAGTTCAAAGGCCTCAAAACAAAAGCATTCAATACATAGTCAGACCGGGTCAACTGATGGATCTGTCAATCAATTACCAAAGAACCACTCATATGAGCCTCGAGCCGATGAAGTAGAAGCAAATTCTACGTCCACTGCGTGTTCTTCCACCCCAAGGGATTACACGACGGATTGGCCGACGTACTAGGTCCTTCATATGCTGAATCACTTACTTTTCTGTTCGTACTTGTGTGTTAGTCAAAGTTGTCCTATTTTAGTGTTTATGTTTCTGAGCACCTTCTAATTTGAGTTGTAGTTTTTGTTTGACATGTTTGGTTGTTGGACTGTTTGGTTGTGGAGCTTATAAAATCAGTAATGTTTGTGTGTTCCCATAAGAACTGAACAATTTCCGTTTAGTTGTTGATGATTTATGTCTTCAATGTTGATGTTGTTGTATATTTGTTTCCCATAAGATCATGCATTGGATGACATTTCTATTTAAGTTGTATGGATAATTAAACTAAATTGATTTACGAAAAGATCATATTTTCATGACTGTTCAAACTTTTAATACAAAGTACACTAGTACAGTTACATAACCAATAAAAGGCATTTCAAATTTAAATTGTCTACAAGCAAAAACATTAATCCACAAGAGTTTCCAACAATGTTCGCAACGTAATCCACAGAAGTTCATAACATCATCCACAAAAGTTTGCATCGTCCACCCAAAATGCACATTATCCACTACACAATACAAATCCACTACATTTTTTGACTTTGAATTTTATGACTTCATCATGGGATGAGAACGAAAGTACACACATCGCCTACAACAATGTTGTTGTTATCAATCAACTACCGTGCACGACCGTTCTGTATCAGTTTCTTACCGTGACCATGAATGATTTGGACTTCATAATAATTGTCACAAAACTGCACGATTGCACGGTTGTAGTTCGAATACTGTCCTTGAATGTAATCCCTCCAGAACTGCATAGGGATGGCCTAAAATAGAAAATATGTTAAAATACAATACTATAAAATATGCAATTTCAATAGAACTCTACTTTTACAGCAAACAACGTACCAAAGTGAAATTGCACGATATAGAAACCGTAAGGGCACGATATAGAACTTGCACGTCAATGTAGTGAAATTACACCAAAAGCGAAATATGCTAGTCTCTATTTCTAGTCCGGCGAAACTATAATATAAAAAGGCAAGGTCGACTAGATTCACCAATGATCGCGTGACTAATAACGCACCAAAAATAATGAGGTAAGCTCATTTTATCATGGTAGTACTAGTGTCTTAACTCTCAAATGTAGGTAAGAACAATTTTAATGATCACCAACCAACAGAATCATTAGCTAAAACAAATGAGTCTTAGCTTCTCATCTCGCTTTTCCTTTA